TATATATATATATATATATATATGTGTATATATATATATATATATATATATATATATATATACTTCTGATCTAAACATTACAATAATAATATATTATCTAAGCATTTAAACATTTTGTGTAATATAATTTCATATTTTTTTTAGATGTATATATTTTTTCTTCTGATATAAACGTTTTTTTTTTTCTTCTTATCTAAGCATTTATATCATATTTTACATTTACATTTACATTTAGCAGACGCTTTTATCCAAAGCGACTTACAAATGATATTTTATACACGGTCTTGCGTATCCACACAGAACGAAGAGCCTCTGGCAAGGTGAGCTGCTGTTTAAACTCCGTTATCATGAAAGGTCTGGTAAGTCGCACAAAAGTAATGATTGATTGGAGTGAACAGAATTCACTAGTGCAGAAAACATGAGCATGTGGGTTCCGCCGGTCCTTTATACTACAAAGCGATATGTTAACTGATCGTTCCTGTTAATAAACACACAACAATGAATTATGCGTCACTAAACTGCCTGTAGGCTGTGTAAAGTGACATATATATTAATATTTGTACTTAAAATGTCCAAATAACAGTTGCTATCGCCTAAATAGTCTATTGAAGGAAGTTTGTTGTTGACAGCAGCGCTGAGGCGGGGCCTGCTGTCAAGAGCAGAATACGCACGTCTGATTGGCTGACATCAGAGTCACAACTGTCATACGAGCCAATCAGCCGTTGGTTGGTCAAAGTCTCCAGTTTTCATATTAAAAGACCCCTTCCCCGTGCCTTGAATGAGTACGTGTTTTTCTTTCACTATCCGTTCTAACTCATCAACATTTAGATTCGTTTGATTGTTCACTCCAGTTCCCTTCACTATCCGGTCAAAAAATACAATTTTCTGAAAAAAATAAATAAAAAAATCACATGCAGGCAGACGTAAAAATTGTATTTGGTTAAAACAAGTTCAAACGGTTAAACATTTGTGTTTAGATTATTTATTTTTAAGATCATTAGATGTTACAGATCATGAGATGTTAATACAAATATGCTAAATATAATTTAATTGAATTTAAATATAATTACTTATATCAAAATAAATATATATAACATTTTTAAAATGGCGGACCTCTATTCTGTAAAATAGTCCGGTTGTCAGCTGTCTGTCTGTCGCTGCTTCTGCGGAGTTCAAACGGGATCTCCGGCTGTACTCTTCCTATAAACTATTTCATCCTTTTCCCCATGTATTATTATCGTTATTATTATTAGTGGTAAAGCAGTCATGTCTCGGTTACTGTGTTTATCACGGGGTCTCATAGGCACACAATGTAAATTCAGTGTTCAGAAATCCGAGCCCTTTGCGTCTTTGTTGATATCCAGAGTGAAGTTCAGAGATCAGCTGATGAAGAGACTGATTTCAACAGGCAGAAGACCTGTCATCACACCCGACAACAACCGACACCCGGTTTTATGGCTGTTCGGTATCGGGACGGGTTTTGTTCTGGCTCTAGGGCTGAAGTATCGTGATTCTGCGTCTGAACGCTGTGAATGTATCGCACCGAAGACACACAGAGCCCAGACTGCCTCCAAATACACAGCGGCTATAGAAACCAGCAGAGACCTGCTGCAGCGGATTGTCACGGAATGTAGTTTTAAGAGTTTTTTAGGCAAGAATGTAGTTGTTTAGACTTCAAATATGCGGTAATAAAAATAACATATTTTTAAAAATTTGCTTCAACGTTTTCGGAGATGTGAGCTCCAGTGCGTCAGCGGTCGTTCAGCGCTCATGAACCTGCCGAGAGCAACCTCACCTCGGCCAGATCTTCTGGAATTTGTCTCTGGCTCTGATGCTTCTGTAGTGGCTAAACATGAGATATCATTCATTTTAGGTAAATCTAACGGGCAGTTTTTGGTCTCATTAATCTATTATTTGTTCCACAGCAAATAGCTTTGGCTGAGGGTAAAGTCTCATAATGTTATATTATATATAACTTTAAAGCTGTTTATCAGTGTGCTGCCTTTGTACTTTTGACTGAATTGCCTAGCAACTTTTATGATGGCTGTTGTTTATTAAATGTTATTATTCAGCAAATAATATTTTAAATAAATAATAGCAGTATTTAATTATAGTGTTTAGTATTGAGAAACGGTGTGCGTGTGTGTTAGTGATGGTGGTTTCAGCTACATTATACTGTCATTGGATGTGACAAGATACTGTTTTTATGAGTGAGTCAGCAGTAAAGACTTTTATATTGAAAGACACTGAAAGAGGGTTGTAAACAAGCAAGTTCTTTTTACTTTCAACAACACCTTGTAAGACGCAGCCAACAAATTGTTGTCATCTGAAATCACCCTAAACAGATGAAAGGACAGTACGACAAAGATAGTAGTTCCGCACAAAAGAGGGTTTTTAAAGACACTACATTGATGTTTCTTATGTATTTATACACTCGTGCTGTCGAACTGTTGTATAAATGCAGTATTATATTGCTCATATATATTCATTTTAAATTTATAGTTCAGTTATAGTGCACAATGGCCTACAGACAAGTCATATAATTTTGCAGGATGAAGTTGGAGCTCCTGGGATGGTTATCGGAGTCTCAGTGGATGGCAGTCATGTTTGGTGTGAAGGTAGGAAGTCTCCCATTGCACACTGATGCTTGGAAGGCTCTTGGGTAGTCTGCACTACTGTAGGATTTACAAAATCCATGCATGCTTAAAATGACACATTTATGTGATGGCCACAAGTCCTCATCCAAGTGCACCAGTCCTTTACTCACTTCGAGGCCTGTGTTAGTACAGTAGCTCAGAAAGTGACCACTGGCTGTGTCTGTTGTCTCTCAGGGGTTGGCTATTCAGATCTGGAGAACAGAGTGCCTTGTGGTCCGGACACAGTGATGAGAATCGCCAGCATCAGTAAACCTCTGACCGCAGCAGCCGTCGCCAGACTCTGGGAGGACGGCAAGATAGATCTAGATGCTCCTGTCCAAAAATACGTCCCAGAGTTCCCACAGAAACGATATGAAGGAGAGGGTGTGAGTACATCCATTTAAAAATATGTTTTTAATTGAATTAATTTATAACTAATCTGATTAATGTGAATTTATTGCTCACCTTATTTGTTAATAATGTATGAACTAGATGAGTAAAGTTTGAAGCCTTGTCTGAAAGTTCTAAACTTTGAAAAGCTTTAAGCTTGAAGATTTTACTCAAAATCAATAAAATGTTGTTAACATGATTTAGCACATTGATAGCATGTTACCAGCATGATTTTGCATGTTGCCAGCATGATTTAACATGTTGTTAACATGATTTAGCACATTGCTAACACGTTGCCAGCATGATTTAGCACATTTTTAACATGTTTTTGCATGTTGCCACATTGGTAGCATGTTTTAGTATGTTGATAGCATGATTTAAGGCATTGCTAGCATTAAACATGTTGCTAGAATGTTTTCGTATGTTGTCGCCTGATTTATCACACTGTTAGCATAATTTAACATGTTGATAGCATGATTTAGCATGTTGCTAGCATGAATTAGCACATTGGTGGCATGTTTCTAACATAACATGTTGCCAGCATGATTTTTCTAGCATGTTTAACGTGCTGTTTGCATGATTTAGCACATTGCTAGCATATTTAGCGTGTTGTTAGCATTATTTAACACATTGCTAACATGATTTAACATGTTGATGGCATGATGTAGCATGTTTTACCATGTTGCTAAAGCTTGATTTAACACATTGCAAGCATGTTTTAACATGCTGCTGGAATGTTTTTCCATGTTCTTAGCATGTTGCTAGCATGAATTAGCATGTTCCGAGAATGTTTCTAGCATGATTTAGCACATTGATAACATGTTGCTTGCGTGATTAGCACTTTGCTTGTTGTCCTAGCATAAACGTTAAGCTTTGCTTGTGGCAGCTTCAATACTCTAAATGTGTAATTGTACAAAAGTTTTGACCCCCTCAATGAAAGTCTATGGGAATTTTCATCGTTTTTGCCTAACCGACAAAATAATTAATTCGGTTTGGCTTAGCATTCTTCCCACTCTCCTTAAACCAGGTAACAATAACGCCCCGGATGCTCCTGTCCCACTTGAGTGGCATCCGTCACTATGAGAAAGATGGCAAGAAAGTGCGAGAGGACAGGGAGAAAGCCAAGCGCCTTCTGAAGCCCCCGGAGAAGAAAGAAGAGAAGAGCTCAGAAGAAAAC